CAATCTTTGTTGTTTTTAGCAATTGAAATGAGTCCAAATAACTTTGTATAAAATTAGTTTGCCTAATAGTTTCCACATTTAGTCCCAGTATAGATTCACAATTAAATTGCTCTGACTCTTCAAATTGTATATCTTGATATATAAAAGCCTGTTCAGGGTTACTCAATCTCTCTTCTATTATTCCTTGTTCCACAATTTTTTGATGAAAGTTCTTGATCCAGTAGATTTTTTTTTCTTTCTTTATGCATTTGCAATTTATGCCTTTGCATGTACAACTACACATTGTGAATGAATACAATGAGATTCCAGGTCAACTGTTTTGTGTGAATACAGGTGATATTGAAGCATCTAAATATATTGAACAATGTCTTGAAAAAACTTAGTTAAATGGAAACTCACTTATTAATAAGACCTTACATGGCCAAATGAAAAGAATGCCAACATTAAATGTTTAGCTGAGTTGTAAAACTGCCATTACAATGAACTATCTTATGGGATTACCATGAGAATAAATATTGTAATGACTTTTTCTGCATTTATGAGTAAATAACATTTTTATTGGCTCCTGTTTTGTTTAGCCAATCTAATGGATCTATATTAAAACCCTGAGTGAACTAGAAGATAATTAATACAACCTTGCTCACTTTGTGCTTACATCATTTGTCTATTTTTCTGCAAAACACATGATATAACCATTAACCCACTCATGTTTCCCAGTGAGGGAATTTATTTCAGGCCAATTCAATATAATTGCTATTGAAAGTTGGATTAGACCACAGAAATACATGGTTTTGCACAGCTGCTGTTTAAACAATAATACTGCTGCTTAATACACAGTATTATAAAATATACTTTTATAATACTTTATCCCAGCAAAATTTTAATCCTAATGTTTAAGAGGAAGGTTCAACTCTCTGTAGGTAAAATTAATATCAGTGTATAATAATCATAACATTATTCCCATGAGTCAAGTGCAATTAACAGATTTCAAAACAAATAACAAAGACTAGAGGTCCATTTTATTGTAGTGTCTAGAATTATCCAGCCATTGCTACGTGGAATTATCAGAACAGTAATCACAACAGATTTTATGTCTTCTCAAGTATAGTTGGATTATGATAGCAATTGCCTTAAGCTTAAATCATTAGTGGGGATCTAAATTAGTGAAACTGTAAGACTACTTTCCAACAAAAATATCTCCATTGTTTGGTGGATGGCCTATATTGTCCATCCCCCACTGGTGTCAAGTTGGGTTTTTAATTACTGCTGGCAATACTTTCCAACAAACATATCCGGAAGAAACTAAGTTGGGATCACATCAGGTATGCTTATATATCAATAGATTGAAAATTGAAGATGTATCTGTTTTGACATACATAGGTGTTATAGACATAAACTGAAGATCAAAGATGTTATGGACATCTAGATCAGATCGAGGTTTTATCTAATGCAGTCTATTCTGTTCAATAGGAATGATCATCTACTCATACTTTATACTTATCAGTATAAGAAATAAATTGAAAATAGTTTTCAGTATTCTCTGATGTTTTAAATATGCTGTATTGTATTAAAATAATTATCAGAATATATATATATATATATATATATATATATATATATATATATATATATATATATATATATGTAGGTCTTTGGTCATTCGGGTTTTCTCCCGTGTAGAATTGGAAGTGTCCTGGCGATGTTTCGACGAAGTCACATTCGTCATCTTCAGGCTGGTGTCTTCAGCTTCGTGCTTCTGGGAGTAGTGTGTGTGATCGCAGCTGTTTCTTCCTTTTAACTGCCAGTGGGGTTTGAGCTGATTGGGTGGGAGCTTGGCTGT